ATCTTTGACTACGGCAGGATGACTCCGGTGTCAAACACCGCGACACCGTTTACCAACGCTTTACAATTAAATAAATATAACTATAAATATAACTTACCAGGTTGCTCGTTTTTGCTTTTAATACCACCATCACATGTAACATACAGTTCATTGTAGAATGAGCTTTTTTTGAAACTCCACGACATGATTTTAAATTTGTTTTCCCATATCTCATTGGCTACTTTAACGACGAAGTGAAACATATCCTTCTCTGAAGATGATGCTGGTAAAGATGAAATAATAACACAAATTCAGTTCAATGTAAACGATGTATACATATATGTCAAATCCATTAAACGATTACCTTAATTCTTTAATCAGATTTTTAAAAATAGGTAGAACGGCATCATATTAATATTTTTGTTGTTGATGTCAAATGTCCGTATTTGTGCAATAATTGTATTTTTCCCAGGTCTATAAGTGTGTTTTTCCAGTTAGCTGCAATATAATAAAATTAATTAATTTGTTTATTTATCCATGTGCAAGTGTTTAATTGAGAAATATATAACTAAATAATATAATAACCGCCATATGTAATATGATATGGTTAAATAAAATACTAAGTATCACATTTATAGGAGAATATAAACATCAAATTAGCACATGATATTTAACTCGTTAGCTCTGGCTACATTGTGACTTTTCAATGTAGAAGGCGATTGCTGAACACCGAGTCACGCATGATCGACCTCTGTATGCAGGTTCATATTACAAATATCACATTACAGCGATTGGCCATTGACTACTTATTGCGATTTTGGGCAGCAATTTTGAAACCGTTATATACCAAGTAGAAGTCAGCACACTATGATACATGTTGTGCCTAGATGAGCGGTAATTTATCACAATTCCTTCCGATTGTAGAACACCAGCGTTGATAAACAAGATAATTATTCTAGTGATGACCATTCGTATTACCCCCTACGATGATAGTTTCTCTTATAAATCGGCTAATACAAGCAGGGATCAATTTATCGACTTGTGCGATGGTGACGGCGAACGTATCGACATCACATCATATAATGGTCGAGATACCACTGGTATGCACGATGAACCAAGGTCACTTGCAAACGTGGTATATGACAGTTGCACAAATTCTACACCAGCTTATGAAAGCTTCATAGACATACAGTTCGACACCCTCGATAGCAATGATAAATAAGACATCTCGAATCGGCAAACAAACTAACTGCAAATTGTATCGGTGTGACAGTGTCAGTTTCAAAACACGTATACATATATCCAATTTACTCCATAGTGTAGTGATGCTGTAAATGTATAAACAAAGAAGCACAATGACTGTGACACGTAAATCGTAGCGTTGTGGCTGCACCAGATATTCAATAATATCGTAATAATGATATTCGATAGTGAAAATAATATTCATTGTTTATGGTCGAGTAAGTGTGTATAAACAAAATTTCCGTCTCATACAGGGTGGTTTAATTGTGTCAGTATTATTAGATCGAGGTGACAATTGTAAGCGGCAAGCACACTTTGTTTGCTCATCTTCGGCTACAAACAATATCAATATGATCTTGAGCAAAATAATGCAGCTCACCGTAAATTTGCTGATTGAAATTTGTTCGCATTTTACTTGCTCTCAAAAAACATCTGTATATTGAACGTTTATGAAAGTAAACGGTAATTTGGGAATAAAATACAAAATGTGGGATACTGATACAGATGGGGACAAAAGAGGACAACTCGCCTTTGGACATATGCTGAATTGGTGAAGATGGACCGCCAGTGATATATTTGGTATTCCACAACACTATAAAAAGAGTTGGACGCAGCCGTTTACACCAATGTAAACGAGAGAGATTAGTGAAACCTTTTTCTAAAGCACACCGAAGAACCAAATCAGTGGTGGTATTCATATTGGCGGGAAGATGCTCGAATGTGTATATTACAGGAAATAGGGAATTATAAATAACCATCTGAACTACAAACTTGACACAGAATATAGTGTAGAGTAAACTTTCAGATCCAGTTAGCTACGTTGGGTGGCCTGAGTACGCTCCGCCACGTCATGTCACGGGTGACTGTCAAATCTCAAATAAAACATTGTTTTTTCTCACACTGAACCCGCCTACTGTCATTTTAAATCATGTCCACTTTTCATCACGAATAAATCAACTGGTAGTATTATCACGTAGTTTTTAAACTTTGTTGTGTGTTTTATTTCTGTTTTGGGACTGGTAGGGGGGAGTCGTAACCCCTTGTGGTGAGAACCAGTGAGACTGGCCTACTTGCAGGGTCCCAAAGCTTAAGGGGTTAGCATACGTTCGCTGGTTCAATTTTTTGGCCTCAATTTACAGACTGAAACATACATTTTACCCATACATGTTATATACCATAATAAAGATTTTTTTTCAAACTTTTAAAATATGGCAATTTTTTTAAATTATGCAAATACCAAGTCACGTGATCACAAGAATACACGAAAATGGAGTAAAACGGTTAATGACGCAATTAATAATTAATTTGCAGCACGACTGAATATATTTTTTTTATGTAAATATTATAGAAGGGTGCTTCATATATAATGTTCTTTGTTTTTTTGCAACTATAATTTGTTTTTATGTAGCCTTATTTCAAATGTTTGGACGTTAATACCTGAGTAAAAACAACATGTCTCTATATAAAAATAAGCAAAAAATCAAAACGAAGGCAGAGAAAAAAATCCAGGAACAATCCTCCAGTACTCTATATAGCGGTAAAGT